TAATATATATATATATATATATATATATATATATATATATATATATATATATATATATATAACAGAATTAGATAGATAGATAGATAGATAGATAGATAGATAGATATTATATAGAATTATATAGATAGATAGATAGATAGATAGATAGATAGATAGATATGGACCGAGTGGGATAGTCATAAAAAGATTGGATAAAAATCAATACAAATCTGCTTCGATTCATGCCAAGCTGAATGCATCTCCGAAGACATGTACAGGTGTTCGGATGCCAACCAACATGCGCCTAAGCAGGAACGGATTAAATGTCCCATGATTTTTGGATTGGATTGTCTTTGCAGACTCCGAGGCGTTGTGGCTTTCAGTCCATTGTTGCTCGGGTCAGACAAGTTCGTTTTTACTGCGATTTCATCTGAGGACAATTGAAGCAAAAAATCCGAACAGAAAAAAAAGAAATATATGAAACAAGAATCAATAAGCAACAAAGTCTGTATGCAGAAGGACCAAGATGTATTTAGATCAGTGCATAAGATTATACTGCATAGCCAATATCTCTCTATATATATTATATATATATATATATATATATATATATATATGCACGCATTGTCTATGGATTTATCTGACACATGATGTTCATGTCTATCTACCTAACTCTTTATGTTCATATCTATCTATTTATTAAATTGAAACACATTTTGATGATATCTGTCTGTCTGTCTCGCTATCAATCTATGAAATTAAAACACATTATGATCATATCTATCTATTTATCTCTCTCTCCCTCTCTCTCTCTCTCTCTCTCTCTATATATATATATATATATATATATATATATATATATATATATACAGTGTATCACAAAAGTGAGTACACCCCTCACATTTCTTCAAATATTTAAGTATATCTCTTCATGGGACAACACTGACAAAATGACACTTTGACACAATGAAAAGTAGTCTGTCTGCAGCATCTATGACAGAGTTAATTTATTTTTCCCTCAAAATAACTCAAAATATATCCATTAAAAGCTAAATCCCTGGCAACAAAAGTGAGTACACCCCTTAGGAAAAGTTGTCAATATTAACATACAACATGTCAACTGTCAATATTTTGTGTGGCCACCATCATTATCCAAAACTGCCTTTACTCTCCTGGGCATGGAGTTTACCAGAGCTTCACAGGTAGTCACTGGAATGCTCTTCCACTCCTCAATAACGACGTTGCGGAGTTGGCGGATATTTGAGACTCTGCACACCTCCACCTTCTGCTTGAAGATGGCCCAAAGATGTTCTATTGGGTTCAAGTCTGGAGACATGCTTGGCCAGTCTATCACCTTTACCCTCAGCCTCTTTAGTAAAGCAGTGGTTGTCTTGGATGTGTGTTTGGGGTCATTGTCATGCTGGAACACTGCTTTGCGACCCAGTTTCTGGAGGGAGGGGATCATGCTCTGCTGCAGTATTTCACAGTACATGTTGGAGTTTATGTTTCCCTCAATGAAATGTAACTCTCCAATACCTGCAGCACTCATGCAGCCCCAGACCATGACATTCCCACCACCATGCTTGACTGTAGGCATGACACACTTATCTTTGTACTCCTCACCTGGTCGCCGCCACACATGCTTAAGGCCATCAGAACCAAACAAATTAAATTTCCTCTCATCAGACCATAGGACATGGTTCCAGTAATCTATGGGCTTTGTTGACATGTCTTCAGCAAACTGTTTGCGGGCTTTCTTGTGTATTGCCTTCAGAAGAGGCTTCATCCTGGGGTGACATCCGTTCACACCAATTTGATGTAGTGTGCGGCGTATGGTCTGAACACTAACGGGCTGAATCCCAATCCCTTTAATCTCTGCAGCAATGCTAACAGCACTCCTACGCCAATCTTTCAAAGAAAGCATCTGGATGTGACGCTCAGCACGTGCGCTCAGCCTCTTTGGACGACCTACCCGAGGCCTGTTCTGAGTGAACCCTGCTCTTTTAAAATGCTGGATGATCTTAGCCACTGTGCTGCAGCTCAGTTTCAGGATGTTGGCTATCTTCTTGTAGCCTTGGCCATCTTTATGTAGTGCAACAATACGTTTTTTAAGATCCTCAGAGAGTTCTTTGCCATGTGCTGCCATGTTGGAACTTTCAGTGACCGGTAAGAGAGAGTGTTAGAGCTGCACTACAAATTTGAATACACCTGCTCCCCATGAACACATGGGCATAGTTACACTTTTTTTTTCTTTCTTTATTTATTTATTTATTAACGTAGTAAAAATTTGTTTATATCACGTATTTAACAGTTTTGAGAATTTAATTAAAGCTATTTGTTCAATTTTGGGGTTGGTTGTTGTAGTTCATTCTAACTATTATTTTTTTGGCGGGAACAGTTTTTTAATTTGGGATTGGTTTGGCTATTTATTTACTTGGATGAATTTAGGTCAATTTATTTGTATATTTTCTCTTTTTGGTTTTCGGTTTTTTAGCAACATAGTATTTATTTTATTTTACATATAGCATGAAACAGACTGTCGCCTCTAAGTGTTGACTTCTATGTTCACTTTTATATTCACACACGCTCTATCTCTGATATTGAGCACTTTATTCCATAAATATAGCACACCTTAAGACTATATTTCTTTATATATATATATATATATATATATATATATATATATATATATAGATAGATAGATATAGATGTCAATGTCCTTATTGTCTATCTATGTATTTATCTAACATATTATGTTCATGTCTATCTCCTTATTAAGTTTCAATATATATATATATATATATATATATATATATATATATATATCAATCTATCAAATTAAAACACATTATGATCTATCTATCTAAAATAAAATATTCGTGAATATGAAATGAATAAAATAAGCATATATATATATATATATATATATATATATATATACTAGGTTGGTGCAAAAATAATGACGTAATAATGTCGTTTTTTGACGTTACGGGGAAATATGAATTTATTTAACAAACTTAAAAACATGAAAGTGAAACACAAATCAACGTATGACCTTGTGCCATACTTGCACGAATTTACAGAACATCGAAATTTTAAGGCAAGTAGAAAGAAACATATAATAAAAAGATATTATGCCAGACTTGCATGAAAGTACAAACATTGAAAAAAAAAGTACATTTAAACAAAAACGAAGTACAAGAAAAATAACAAACTTATCTCTTGATAAAAGTTCTTTTCCACTAATATCTCTTATATCTACTTTTCTTTTCTCTTTTTCCTTTTCTATTTCTTTTTATAAGCGTCTCCTTTTGAGGTCTTTCCTTACTCCCTCTCTTTCTCTTTTCGTCCTGTCTAGGGGCTTGGCCGGCGATGAAGTTGAAAATGCCTTTCCTCTCTCTTTCGTCTCGGTGTAGCCGCATTCCCGTTTGAGGCGGTCTTTTCTTTCTTTCTTTCTTTCTTTCTTTCTTTCTTTCTTTTCCCTTTCATTCTTTGTTTAAGGGCTTGGTGACAGTTGAAACTGATTTCTTTCTCCTTCTCCTTCATCTCGGCGTGGCATCCTTCGAGATATTTTCTTCCTCTCTTTCTTTTTCCCATAAGTATCTCCTTTTCAGATCTTCTTTCCTTTTTCTATAAGCTGTCTTCTGTCTCGCTTTCACCTCGATGCCGCGGCATTCCGCATATGTCGTCAAACGAGTCCATCTGTTCCACTCGGAGATGAATTATTTTCTTCCCGTAATTTCGCGAACACGTCTTTTCAGCCTTTGGGCCTGGACACAACTCTTGTATATTTCGCAAACTCGTCTTTTCGGCACTTAGACCTGGACATGTTTTGCGAGCACGTCTTTTCAGCCCTTAGACCTGGACAAATTTCACGATCACGTCTTTTCAGCCCTTACACCTGGACAAGTTTTGCGAACACGTCTTTTCAGCCCTTAGACCTGGACAAATTTCGGGATCACGTCTTTTCGGCCCTTAGACCTGGACAAGTTTTGCGATCACGTCTTTTCGGCCCTTACACCTGGACAAGTTTTGCGAACACGTCTTTTTTCAGCACTTAGACCTGGACAAATTTTGGGATCGTCTTTTCGGCCCTTACACCTGGACAAGTTTTGCGAACACGTCTTTTCAGACCTGGCGGGATCACGTCTAGACCTGGACAAATTTTGGGATCACGTCTTTTCGGCCCTTACACCTGGACAAGTTTTGCGAACACGTCTTTTCAGCACTTAGACCTGGAACACGTCTTTTCACCTGGCCGTCTTAGACTTGGAAAAATTTTATGAACACGTCTTTTCAGCCCTTAGACCTGAACAAATTTCGCGATCACGTCTTTTCGGCCCTTACACCTGGACAAGTTTTGCCAACACGTCTTTTCAGCCCTCAGACTTGGACAAATTTTGCGAACAGGTCTTTTCAGCCCTTAGACCTGGACAAATTTCGCGAGTACGTCTTTACGTAGGCCTAGACGAGACTGACTTTTCCGTTTCATTATTCGTTTCCTTTCTTTTCTTGTCACGTAAAAAAAGACAGAGGGAGGCCACGTCACGTCTGTGAGAGAGAGACTGTGAGAGAGCGACTGCAGACGAGATGCCAGATCAGGGCCAATTACATTAGATATTCGTCTCTGGATTTTATCAAGGACCTTGAGACAAACAGAAAGGGCACCAGACCATATATGGCAGCAATACTCCATGCAAGGGCGAATGGTTGATTTGTAGATTTGAAGGATCGACTCCGGCGAGAAAAAGTTCCTGGCGCGGCACAGGGAGCCGACTTTCCCTGCGGTGGACGAAGCAATTGACTCAATGTATTTGTGCCATCTCAGGTCAGCAGTCAATGTGAGGCCAAGCAGTCGCAAAGAGGGGCTCTCGTGGAGTTGAGCGTCAGGCATTCTCATGCGGGGGTGGGTGGGCAGGGATGCTTCTCTGTAAATATATATACATGGTTCTCTGTAAATATATATATATATATATATATATATACATCATCTATATATATATATATATATATATATATATATATATATAAATATATATATATATATATATATATATATATATATATATATATATATATATTAAACCTTGCTTTGAAACATCTTTCGTTCAGTATGACGGACAAGGAAAATGTTATGAAGCTATAATTTCTTTTTTCCGTTTCTCTCACAAATTTTTGAATTAGGTGGGATTTAGGGAATGCAAAAATTCTCTCTACGGGTAAAAATATAAATACAACGACAATCGACATTTTCTATCTTCATGAATTTCCTGAATCTTTCCTATATTCAGTCTTTACTTTCACTTTCACATTCAATTTCACTTCCTGCAACCAACAGCGAACTAATAGCAAACACGCCTTTCTTATGATTAAAAACAAGTTAAATATTTCTTTCGCATTAATAAATTCATTACTTCTTTTTAAGAATTGCTTAGTTTACTTTAAAATTAGTTTATGAGAATAACTGAGGGATTTCTGAATTTAAGGCCTTATTCGTCGTTGCAGAATTGGCGATGAATTCTGTGGCTGAGTCGTTATAATCCCGTCAGATCTAACTACAGTTTCACCCACCACAGATAAAATATATATATATATATATATATATATATATATATATATATGAATGTATGTATATATGTATATATAACGTGTGTAATAGCATGAAATTTAATTAAATTCTGTTTCCACTGGGTCTGTCTGCACTGTCCTGTCTTAAGTCTGTACTGCCTCGTTTTCCCTGAGTCTAAGTCTGTACAGCTATGTTTTCCCGGAGTCTAAGTCTGCCTTGTCCTCTTTCCTCTGAGTCTCTCTGCACTGCCCTGATTCCCGTGAGTCTAAGTCTGGACTGTTCAGTTTTCCCTGAGACTAAGTCTGTCCTGTCATCTTTCCTCTGAGTCTCTCTCTCCCCTGCACTGCAGTACTGCCCTTTTTCCCTAAGTCTACTGCTCTGCCAGTCTAGTCTGCCCTTTTTCCCCTGAGTCTGAAGTCTAAGTCTGTCTAAGCCTGCTCAGCCCTTTTCCCCTGAGTCTGAGTCTGCCCTGTCCTCTTTCCTCTGAGTCTGATTGCACTGCGCTGTTTCCCCTTAGTCTAAGCCTTTATAGCTCTGTTTTCCCTGAGTCTAAGTCTGTACTGCTCTGATTTCCCTGAGCCTAAGTCTGACCTGTGCACTTTTTTCTGACTCTCTGTGCACTGCAATGTTTCCCCTTAGTCTAAGCCTGCACTGCCCTAATTCCCCTGAGTCTAAGTCTGTATTGCTATGTATTCCCTGAGTCTAAGTCTGTCCTGTGCTCTTTCTTCTGAGTCTTTTGCACTGCGCTGTTTCCCCTCAGTCTAAGACTACACTGCCCTGTTTCACCTGAGTCTAAGTCTATACTGCTCTGTTATCCCTGAGTCTAAGTCTGCCCTGTCCTCTTTCCTCTGAGTCTCTCTGAACTGCGCTGTTTCCCCTGAGTCTAAGCCTACTCTGACCTGTTTCCCCTGAGTCTAAGCCTGCACTGCCCTGTTTCCCCTGAGCCTAAGTCCGTACTGCTCTGTTTTCCCTGGGTCTAAGAGTGTCCTGTCCTCTTCCCTTAGTCTCTCTGCACTGCGCTGTTTCCCTGAGTCTAAGTCTGTACTGCTCTGTTTCCCCTGAGTCTAAGTCTGCACTGCCGGGCGCAAGCTGCGACAGCATCGACAAAAATGAGGACGTTACTCCGATTGTGAATAATTTAAATCCTTACCAGTCACATTCACCTTTGTGTAACTTGCCTGTTTTTCAGAGTCAAAATATGTGAATTTTTAGTAATATGTGTTGAACTCACTCCTTCAACACAACAAGATATTTAACAATCCCGAAAATTGACAAAATCCAAAGAAGGATCTCTAATATAATCGATCCTGACTTGGCATCTCAACTTCAGTCACTTTCTCACCGATGAGACGTAGCTTCCCTCTGTTTCTTTTTTCTACAAATAATTTCATAGCAACTCTTATGACGAGCTTTTCTGTAGGATTTTTTTTTATTATAGAAATTTATTAAAATATTCTTTCTGTGCGATTAGTTAAATAGTTTCATTATAGAAAATCATTAAATAATTTTTACTGGAGAAGTAATTAAATATTTCTTTCAGTTTACGATTAAATTGTTTTTTTTTTTTTTTGTTGTTTTGTTTTGTTTTTTTTCACTACAGACATTCATTAAAATTTATTTTTTTCAGAAGTTAATTAAAACAGTCATAGGAGCTTTTTTCAATGCCAGTATTATTAAAAAAAGGAAAAAAAGAAAAGGAAATATATATTTTGAAATAAAGAAATAAAAGGGAGGCTCTCGTAAAAGGGCGGGGGAGAGAGAAAGAGAGAGAGTGATTGAAAAAGAAAAAAAGAAAAGAATAAAAGGAGAGACAAATATAGTCATAAGTATTAGAGAGTGAAAGAGAGAGAGAGAAAGAGAGGGGAAGTGTAAAAGAGTGAGGGAAAATGATTTCAGAAGAAAAAAGAAAAGAATAAAAGGAGAGAGAAATATAGTGATAAGTATTAGAGAGTGAAAGAGAGAGAGTGAGAGAGAGAGAGAATGATTTAAGAAGAAAAACGAAAAGAATAAACGGAGAGAGAAATATAGTCATAAGTATAAGAGAGTGAAAAGAGAGAGAGAGAGTGAGAGAGAGTGACTTAAGAAGAAAAAGAAAAGAATAAAAAGAGAGAGAAATATAGTCATAAGTATAAGAGAGTGAGAAAGAGAGTAAGAGAGAGTAAAAGAGAGAGAGTGAGAGAGAATTATTTAAGAAGAAAAAGAAAAGTATGTAAGTAGACAGAAATATAATCAATAATAATGAGAGAGAGAGTGAGAGAAAGAGATTGAAGAAGAAATGGAAAAGAAATACACAGAGAGAGAAAAATAATCATAAGTATGATAGAGAAAAAGAAAGTGTGAGAGTGCGAGTGAGTGAGTAAGAGAGAGTCAGAAAGAGAGATTTATAGAAATGATTGCTAGAAAATAGTATAAGAAAGACGGAAAGCGTATGTGAAGAAAGATAAAGAAAAGAGGGGGTAAATGAAAGAGAGGGGGAGGTGTCATGGAGCAGATGAAATGAAAGTGAAAGTAGGGAAATAACTTGAAGAAAGATGGAAACGCATGAGCGGTGATATCAGCAGAAATTGTAAGCGTGTGTTCGTTCACTCGAATGGCACAAGAACGTTTCGTGAGCCAATGGCGGAATTCATCAAAGGGGTGGCGACATGCAGTGCCCGATGCGAACAAATAACTTCCACTAAAATACCGTAATGAATTTTACCTGTAGAAAAAAAAAGGACAATAAGAAAGACAGAAAGAAAGAAAGAAAAATGAAAAGGAAGGAAGAAAGAAAGAAGAAAAGGAAGGAAGAAAGCAAAGAAAGAAAGAGAACTGTGCTGCAAAGAAGAAAGAATGAAAACAAAAAGAAGAAAGGAAATTGTGCTGCAAAGAAAGAAAGAAAGAAAGAAAGAAAGAAAGAGAACTTGGCTGCAAAGAAAGAAAGAAAGCAAGAAAGAAAGAAAGAAAGAAAGAAAGAAAGAAAGAAGAGAAAAAAGAAAGAGAACTTGGCTGCAAAGAAAACAAAAAAAGAAAAAAAAGAAAGGGAACTGTGCTGCAAAGAAAGAAAGAAAGAAAGAAAGAAAGAAAGAAAGAGAACTTGGTTGCAAAGAAACAAAAAAGAAAGAAAGAAAGAAAGAAAGAAAGAAAGAAAGAAAGGAAGAAGAGAAAAAAGAAAGAGAACTTGGCTGCAAAGAAAAAAAGAAAGAAAGAAAACATGCGAATGTTGCATGTAAATACACTCAAATCCATTACATTGACTTACGGGAAAGGATTGAATCTTCTTCTTCCTTCCTCCAGCTATGGCTAGCTAGCATGACAGACCGGGTTCTATAGCCTTGGCTAACTATCTAATACCCTTCTTGGGAAATGTATGAATCCTATTCTTCTCCCCACAAACTATGGGGTGGGGTGTATATAGAAAAAGAAGAAAAGAGATTTTAAATAGAATAAGAGCCCGGCTTCTCATACCCATTATAATTGACTTACATGCTAATACTCTTGGGAAAGGTTTGAATCTTCTTTCTCCCTCCCCAACAAACCAGCTATGGTTAAAAAGCATGACCGAGCGGTTTGGATGCCAATTGGTCTACCGCAGAAAGAAATGGCAACCTACTGCGGGAAAAAAAATCTGCCTCGTCAGTCATGTATCGAAAGATACATGATCGCCTAAGCGTGTATCACATATGGCACATAACTGACTGACTGACGCGCTAATACCCTTGGCAAAGGCATGAACCCTCTTCTACTTCCCCGACCTATGGGAGAAGAAGAGAAGATATGGTAAATTTCCGGACAGCTCGGGTTCTGTAGCCTTGGATGGCAACTGGCCTACCGTAGAAAGAAATGGCAACCTACAGCGAGGAAAAAATCTGCCTCGTCAGTCTTGTATTAAAAGATACATGATAGCCTAAGCGTGTATCACGCTTGGCAAAGAACTGACTGAATTAGGACAGAAGAATAAATATATCAAAGATAGGCAAGGCAAGAAAACGAATGTAAAAATCCATTAATACAATTCGACATAGAAAAAAGAAAGAACTAAAAAAAATCTCTAGACTCTACAGAAGGAAGCTGAAATTACCATGCCTGGCAGTGAATTACACAGTAATTTACAAGTATTCCTATATGAAGATGCCGGTGGTAACTGTCTTGGAGCGGCTGATATAAAATAGATTTTTTTTTCTTTTGCAATCCTCTGCCAGCCGCAATGATGGAGAAAGCATTAGCTCGAACCATCGCCAGTATAACACGCAGCAAGAACCGCTCCGTTTCTCGAGGCTCGTCCCTTAATCGAGACGCAATCGCGCCAAACCTCCGAAAGAACGTTCATTGCATTTTTGTTTGATATAGGAGGTCCACACGCCATCGGGCAAGCTCACACCCTGTCCCATCTACCGCCATTTCATCCTCAGTAACCCACTTGAATGCCCTTGCTTTGGGTGAAATGATTAAAAAAAATATCCAAGTTGAAGATTCTTTCCCAAATGTCAGCTATATAATAATAAATCTTTTTTTATTTTCCTTTCAGAACATTGACCGTTTTCTTTGGACTGTATCAAAAATCTGTTTTTCCAAGGTCAGCATGCTTTCATCTACAACCAAATTTATCCTAAACTTGTAATCATTACATTAGTTTTCTTTTGGCATACTTTGGTGTGGTTTGCAGACTGACCAACTACTTCACAAACAGGAAATCCACCCACCCTGAAAACAGACTTTAGTTTAGTTTTGGCACAGAATCAGGGCGTTGATGTGGCAGTCAATTAGCAACAGTGAAAGAGCTTTAGGAAAAGTGCTGCTGTGTGGATAAAGGAAAAAAATTAACTTTTCCATGCCGTGGTGGTCTAACCGTCCGTTTTAGCCATAAACAGGGGAGATAACAGAAGAGAGAAGCAATGGCCTTCTTAATCCCTGTTATTTTATAGTTTACTCTCCTTAATTTTTCTCATATTATCTAACATTCAGTATTCCCCATTGCATCTTAGTGTGGCAAAGAACTGACTGAATTAGGACAGAAGAATAAAAATATCAAATATAGGCATCCCATGCAGTCACCCTTGCGAGGTTTGAAATGATTACAAAGAAAATTGTCAGCGAATATGAAAGTAATTCAGAAAATTCCTAAATAATATTGGAGATAGTGAAGGCCGTAATTGTTTTGGAGTCGGTGAATTTTTTTTCTCTCAAAGTGGGACCTATAATGGTCCAAGAGAATTCGTATAGTTCACTAGAGACGGTGAAGTTTTATATTCTTGGAATCGTTGATATCATGCAAGAAATACCATTGTCTGGTATTGAATCAGACCTCACTTCAAGACGATCCGCCGGTGGAAATAATAATGTGTTGATGTATTGAATTATGTAGCTCAACAGTAAATCAGGTAGTTATTCAGTAGAATTCGTAATGATTATTTTGAAGCAGATGACGCGATATACTGCGTGAAACTTCTTTTTTGCCATGAATACAGTTGGAGAATTTAATTCAAATGAATTTGGAAATAAAGATGAAGACGCTGAAAGTAATGTTCAAGTTTAAGCGTCTGAGGACATCAGGTAAAGCTATCATGTCCACGTTTTGTTCATCAATCGAAGGAAATTCATTATCATTCAACTGCTGTTTTCGGTCAGCTAAACATATCCTTTATTCTTTATATATACAATAGAATCCTTCATATCCGGAATCCCTCATATCCGGAGTGCCTCATATGCGGAATCCAGCATATCCGGACGTGATTTTGATGTGTATATTTGAACTATTTGGGTGATATGTAACTGATTTAAAAATTCTGTTTTTCAGGAAGTTTACTTTGAATATTTGCTTATTATTATTATTTCACCCTAATGGCTTGTATTGGTGCAAAAGATGATTGGAATAAGAGGAAAAAAACAATTTTGGAAATTTTAAACAGGCTAGACGTTAGTTAAAGGCCATTGTAACTAATGGCTGAGTTCAATCATAGGAAAGTCAACATTGCATGATATAAAATCTTCCAAAGAAACTATTCTTCAGTGTTCACACTGTCACAATGAACAAGGAAATTGTGATAAAACCTAGACTGAAATTGAAAAAGGTATTGAAAAGATGGTCAGTTTTATGGAAAGAAAGCCAGCGTTCAGCTATGAGAATTGCAATAACACGCAGAGTTAAAAAGTGTCTTTCGTTTTAAAAAATATCAAGAACAAAAGCAAAAAGAAATGCGCAAAAAAGTTGAGAACGACATTAGAAGAGAAAGAATCATCATGGAACAGCGATTAAAATATCCTCGTTACATTATTTGTTTTGCTCGCTGTGGCAAACTGTTCTAGTTCCACTAGCCATGCCTAATCGATGTCATTTATCAGTTATCACAAGGCTGCTTGGTTTGAAAAAAAACACAGATTCTCCAAGTGGAACAACAATAGGCGAAACATGGAAGAATAAATCTTTGTAGATATTCACTTTTCTTATTTCACAGTAAAATGCATAATAATCTGTATTATTCATATCTATCTATCTATCTATCTATCTATCTATCTATCTATGTAATCGTTCATATCTATCTACCTATGTAAGTATCTGTCTATATTTTTTAGATGAGGTAATATTTACACTATATACATTATTCGGACTATTGTCCTCATCGTTGTCGCCATATTTATTACAACGTTTCGGCCTTTGTACGCTCCGGTCTTCTTCAGGTGGTTGGAATGTCGAAATGAACCCTTTATTTCGCTCACTGGGGTAGACTGTTCTAGTTCCACGTGACATGTCTAATGGATGTCAGTTATCAATTATCTCCTGTTAATTCCTTTCTCCAAGATCCCCACTGCCTTAACCAGGTATTGAACTCACACTCTTCGTACTAGACGCTTTTTCTGGTCAGAATCCAGTCTGGCACGTCTATAAATCGACCATTCTTCCGACTTTTTCCTTCCCTGCTACCCACAAAGATTAATATTCAACGCCAATCACCTTTTTCTCTCTTCCTGGAACCTTTTCGATTCTTGCCTTTTCTCTTTTCATTCTCATTCAATGTCAGTAACCGCTTGAATCTTAGTGGCATTATCGCCTCGCTTGTGGTGAAATGATTTTTAAATCCCTTTTTAGAAGTTAGGACCCATAAGCAACCGTGTCGTTCATTTTTGGTGAGTACAATGCTAGTGTACATATTAATCATTTTAGTAGCTATCTACCTTCCAGTGTCATGTGTCACACTTTAAAAGGAAAATCATACACAGTAGATTCCCTAATATCCAGAATCCCTGATATCCGTAATCTCTCATATCCAGAATCCCGAATATCCAGAATCCCGAATATCCGGACATGATTTTGATGTGTATATTTGAACTATTTGGGTGATTTGTAACTGATTTGAAATTTCTGTTTTTCAGTAAATTCACTTTGGATAATTGCTTATGCTTATTTCACCTTAATGGTTTGTATTGGTGCAAAAAATGATGGGAATAAGAGGTAAGGAACAACTTTGGAGTTATCGCAGAAAGTGGAAATTTTAAACAGACTAGACACTGATGAAAGTTCTTTGTAACTAATATGTGTCCTCCGACAGAAATCGAACCCGTATCCTACATGGAACCGTCATATAGCCTGACGTGCTATACCAGTTTAGCTACAAAGGAACGTCTGGTTACCGTGTAACTGTGCTTAAATGTAAAAGGGTCTGAGGCGAATTTTAATGCATTCTTAAATTTCCTCATATCCAGAATCACTGATATCCCGAATCACTCATATCCCGAATCTCTCATATCCGAAATCCCTCATATCCGGAATCCCTCATATCCGGAATCCCTCATATCCGGACATGATTTTGATGTGTATATTTGAACTATTTGGGTGATTTATAACTTGTTCAAAATTTCTGTTTCTCAGGAAATTTACTTTGGATAATTGCTTATGCTTATTTCACCCCAATGGCTTGTATTGGTGCAAAAGATGATGAGAATAAGAGGAAAAGAACAACTTTGGAGTTATCGCAAAAAAGTGGAAATTTTAAACAGACGAGTCACTGGTGAAATTTGATTGTAACTAATGGCTGAGTTCAACATAAGAAAGTCAATATTGTATGATATAAATTCTTCCAAAGAAACTATTCTCTAGCGTTCACACTGTCCCAATGGAGAAGGAAATAAAAAATATGATTGTGATGAAACCTAGACCGAAATTGAAAAAACTATTAAAAAGGATGTCAGTTTTATGGAAAGAAAGTCAACATTCAGCT